CAATCAGACCTTCTTTTTACCACAGCACAGGACGCTAGAGGCAAGCCTCCTCTGTAGCCTGAGCATACTCATGACTGCAGATGCAGCAGCAATAGGGCTTTAATTTCTTTATTTCTTCTCTGACCCAGGGGTGGTTCAATAGCTGACTGTTCAGCTTCCATGAGTTGAAGGCTTTCTGGGGGTAGAATTATTCCATGGTGATCTGATTAGATACAGGTGGTTACTAATATTTTTTTGTATCTGTGGAAATTTTCTTTGTTACTGAGTATGTGGTCAATTTTTGAGAAGATTCCATGAGATGCTGAGAAGAAGGTATATTCTTTCCTATTTGGGTGGAATGTTCTATAGATGTCTGTTAAGTCCATTTGGTTCATTATATCTGTTAGTTCTCTTATTTCTCTGTTAGGTTTCTGTCTGGTTGACCTGTCCATTGGTGAGAGAGGAGTCTTGAAGTCTCCTGCTATTAGCGTGTGGGGTTTGATGACTGCCTTGAGTTCTTGTAATGTTTCTTTTACTTAAGTGGGTGCTTTTATATTAGGGACATAGATATTCAAGATTGAGGCTTCATCCTGATTAATTGTTCCTGTTATGAGTATATAGTGTCCGTCTCCATGTCTTCTGATTGATTTTAGTTTGAAGTCAATTTTGTTCGAAATTAGTACAGCCATACCTGCTTGTTTCTTAGGTCCATTTGCTCGAAAAACCTTTTCCCAACCCTTTGTTCTGAGTAGATGTCTGTCTTTGTGGTTGAGGTGTGTTTCTTGTAAACAACAGAATGTTGGATCCTGTTTTCGTATTCATTCTCTTAGTCTGTTCCTTTTTATAGGTGAATTGAGTCCATTGATATTAAGTGATATTAATGACCAATGGTTGTTAACTCCAGTTATTTTCTTCTTCTTCTTTGGTGGTAGAGTTTGTGTGTTTCCCTTCTTTGAGTTGTGCTTGTGAAAGGTCGCTAGATGTCTGAGTTATTGTGGGCATTATTGGATTCCTTGGTTTGTGATTTTCCTTCTATTACTTTACGTAAGGCTGGATTTGTGGCTACGTATTGTTTAAACTTGTTTTTGTCCTGGAATATTTTGTTTTCTCCATTGATGGTGAACGAAAGCTTGGCTGGGTATAGCAGTCTGGGCTTGCATCCATGGTCTCTTCGTTTTTGCAGCACATCTATCCAAGACCTTCTGGTTTTCATGGTTTCCATAGAGAAGTCAGGTGTAAGTCTGATCGGTTTACCTTTATAAGTTACTTGACCTTTTTCCTTTGCATCTCTTAATATTCTTTCTTTATTCTGTATGTTTTGTGTTTTGATTATTATATGGCAAGGGGATTTTTTTTGATCCAGTCTATTAGGTGTTCTGTATGCTTCTTGAACTTTCATAGGAATATTCTTCTTTAGGTTGGGAAAGTTTTCTTCTATAATTTTGTTGAATATATTTTCTGGGCCTTTGAGCTCTAATTCTTCTCCTTCTTCTACCCCTATTAGTCTTAGGTTCAGTCTTTTTATGGTATCCCAGATTTCCTGGATGTTTTGTGATGAGAATTTGTTGGATTTGCTGTTTTCTTTGATCAGTGCGTTTATTTTCTCTATAGGGTCTTCAGCATCTGAGATTCTTTCTTCTATCTCTTGTATTCTGTTGGTTATGCTTGTTTCTTTAGTCTCTGCTTGTTTTCCTAGATTTTCCATATCCAGCCATCCCTTGGTTTGTGTTTTCTTCATTGCCTTCATTTCAGTTTTCAAGTCTTGAACTGTTTCCATTATCCGTTTGATTGTTTTTTCTTGGTTTCCTAGAGTATCTTTTAGGGATTTATTCATTTCTTCAAAATTTTTTGTTATTCTTCTCATCCATTTCTTTAAGGGAGTTTTTCTACATCCTATTTAAGGGACTCTATCACTTTCATAATGTCTATTTTTTCTGCTTCTGGATTAGGGTGTTCAAGTCTTCCTGTTGTATGTTCACTGGGTTCTGGTGTTAGGTTGTTTTTCAGATTGTTGGAGGAATTCTTGCATTGGTACTTGCCCATGTCTTCCTTCAAATGCTCTCTGATGGATCTTCTGGTACAAGATCATGGCTCCTTGCTGACCAGGGACCTTGCAGATAAAAGGCCTAGCTTGCTACTTGCAGTCTTTGTGAAACAAAGGAACTCCCACCTGGTTGCACTCAACACCCCTTCCCAGCCCCAAAAGAGGCTGAGCTGGGGGATCTTCTGGCCCCAAAGAAGGGAAGGTGTGCCTGGGAGCAAGATGAGATGGGGTAGGAAGAGAGAGGCAATAGTCGGGGAGAGAAGCCCCTTCACAATGACCAGCAAGTTTAGGGGGTTGAGCAGTGTCTGTGTTCCGTTTCTGGGGCTTCTGCTGCCAGTCAGGAGCACACTCACCCCTCCAATGAATCTTCTGGTACACGATCAGGATCAGGGCCCCTTGCTGGCCAGAGACCTCACAGATATTGGCCAACTCCTATGTATTAATTTAACCCATCTCCATTAATCTATTTATTGCCATGTGGCAGTGACTTACCAGGTAAAGTTTCGACGTCTGTCTACAGAGGGACTACATGGCTTCTCTCTGACTCCTCTTTCTTTCCCCCAATATTCAGTTTAGTTTTCCTGCCTAGCTCTGTTCTACCCTATCAAGCCAAATCAGTTTTCTTTATTAACCAATGGTAATCACAGCATACAGAGGGAATTCCCACATCAGATTCAACCTGAACAGTCCTAATCTGTCTCTTTCTGTGTCTGTCTAGAATCTTCTGAAGTACAATGACTGGACCTGGGTCAGAGCCCCACGTAACTAGAATGTTGTAACAAATTTGGATTTTAGGGCCCACTTATGGGACTTATTCACGCATCCCTTTGCTAAGTGCTCTACCCAGATACAGTAACTAGCAAGACCAGTTTAGAATCTGTGATTCTAAGCTAGGCATGGGTGGGTTTGGATTTGGGGGAGGTGCATTCAACAGAAGAAACCTCTAGAAAGGTTTTAAATCTATGTTCCTTCTCTGGTTGGGTCTGACAAGACCTTAATCCAGTTTTTACACACTGTATGATTTTTTTGTGGGAAGGGAGAATATTCTGTAAACAACAAAGAGCTGCAGAGTTGGAGACAGGCCATGAGGAGCATGTTCACTGGTCTCCACTCTCAGCTGAAATCTAGCAGGTGCCGGGTTGTTTTGTCTTCAGAAGGACTCTATGACAGAAGGTCTGTGGTTGCTTTGAAAGAAAACTGAGGCTCAGAGAGACACCCCCCCCCCAAAGACAATAGAAGGAAATGTCAGTAGTTGACAGGACTGAGACATGGCCAGCAACTTTAGCCTTTCAAGTTGTGCTGACTAGATTTATGTCAACTTGACACAGACTATAATCATCTGAGAGGAGGGAACCTCAATTGAGAAAATGCCTCCGTAAGATTGGGTTGTGGATCAGCCTAAAGAACATTTTCTTAATTACTGATTTATAGGGGAGGGCCCAACCCATGGTGTGTGGTGCCATCCCTGGATTATATAAGAAAGCAGATTGAGTTCCTGTCCTGGCTTATTCCTTCAGTGATGGACTACAGTGTGGAAGAATAACCCCAATAAACCCTTTCCTATTCAACTTGCTCTTTGGTCATGGTGTTTTGTGGTTTTTTTTTCTTTCCACATCAGTAGAAATCCTAAGACACAAACAAGTCAAGGCCCATGAGAGGAACCTGAGGCCCAGTCAGCTCATTCTCAGCACATAATCTGAAAAGAAACTAATGTCCTTTTGGGATGTTGCTGAGGGGGATCTCTTGACCCGCTGAGGCTCTGATGTTTAGTACATTACTCAAAAACAAAACAAAACAAAAAAACAACCAAACAACAAACCCAAAACTGTATAGAGTGGAATGATTTCTTCAACAAATGCATACATCCAATCTACAAAATAAAAGTTGGGTTACTGGAGTCAAAGGCCAGACAGGGATGGCCTGGGACTCCCAGAGGTCTCCCAGATCCTGATGGCTTGGAAGCCATTTTTCAGTAGGATCTTACCTGAGATGTCATGATGTCAAAGGCTCTGACATGGAGTCAGACTGGGAAGAATATTTACTTGCAGGGTAGTCAACCCAGGCAGGGCTCAGGATCCCAAATCTTCTGTATGTTCATGGTGCTATTGGCAAGTCTGTTTAAGCTGAGCAGAACCTGCTCTGCTGACCCCATTCTCCCACACTCCTACCTCACACATCTAGTCCACTGTCATCTCCTTCTTCCTTACTTCTCAATCCTCACTCACACCTACCCCCTTCACCCCACCTTCCACCTCCATATATTCCTACCTCACATATCTAGTCCACTGTCATCTCCTACTTCCCTACTCCTCAGTCCTCATCTCACCCCACCCCCCCTTCACCCCACCTTCCACCTCCACATATTCCTACCTCATAATCCAACTCTCTCCTCCCTGGAACTTCTTCCACCTCCACACGTAATCTACACCATAATCCAACCTTCTCCTCCCCTGCTTTCTATTACATCCACATACTCCTACCTCATAGCCCTAAACTTCTCTTCCCTTGCTTTCTCTACTTCCCCACATCCTCCCATTCCCACTCATTCCCACCTGTTCTAACTATACTTCACAACCATAACCCTCCCACCACTATTCTCCCCCACCTCAGCATACCCCTACCACAAAATCCCAACCCTCTTCTCTCTCTCTCTCCCATATTCTTACATCACACATATCACCTCTCTCATTTTCACTTTCCGAATCCTGTCTAACATCTCCAGCCTCCCAGTCACACCTTCCTCCAACCCCTATCTCTGTACCTCACACCTATATCCACATCTTTCCCTATCCCCTGACTTCTGCCATGTTCCTTCCTTCTGCCAGTCACCTGACCTGTCCCTTAAAGAGGTAAGGAACATTTCACCATTTTACATTTACTGAATTTTGTTCTTTGAAGATAAGACTTAGAAATATTAGAAACATTTCATCATCTTACAATTTAACTTTATTTGAAGATAAAATTCCAATCCCTTCTCTCCCCTTTGCTCACATCCACAAAGTCTCTTTCTCGCTTGCTCTCTCTTTCTCTCTCTCTCTCTTTTTTTTTGTAACCAACTGAAAGTCCAAAGTCATTCCTTTATCTTGATGTAGGAGCCAATGCAGATGTCAGGGGAGAAGTGGGTGGCTCACATTGGCTCCATTAAGTGGACCTCCGTTTCATAGATATTAGGGATCAGACCCACAGGAGAGTTGATCATGTAGATAGTATTCCTACTAAATAGCTTGAACTCATAATGAATAAGTTGCTCCCAAAAGCCATTGTTGGGACGAATTGTTGGGCGGCAGGACTTGGTCCATGTGTGCGCATCCAGCAGGGTCATGGTGTGGTATTTCATGAGATAGGCAAGGCAGAACGCTGCTGAGCGACTCACTCCTGCAGCGCAGTGCAGCAGCGTGCGGCCATTCCTCATGTCCACACTGTGGATACGATCAGCTATGGGGTCGAAAAAGTCATAGAGGTAGGAATTGGGAGCATCACTCACCGGCACTTGCACATACTGAATGTCTTCAAAGAACGTGTTCACTACTTCTACCGAGGCATTGATAATCGTGGTGATGTGGTTGTTGGACACGGTGAGTTTGTCATTAGCAGCTATAGCATTACTGATAAAAAGGCTGTTAGTTATTTGAGAGAGGCTATAAATGCCTTCCTGTTGGATAGCTGGAGATGGAAGGAGACAAGACGCTGTAGTCATCATGGCGTCGGGTCAGCTGTCTCTTTGTACTAGGTTCCAGGGCACCAGTTTCTGCAACTTTAGGAAAACATCTGCTTTGCTAAAATCTTAGGTAAAGGTATGGAGGAGAGAAGTCCAAGCACTTGATCATTAATCTCTGTCTCCTCCTCTACTCCCCACCTGTCACAATGGTGACTAATCTGTGTCTCTTCTCCAATGCCCAGACATCACAATCTCCAAAGACACAAGCCTCAGGTTTCTAGGGCAAAGGTAACTTTAGCTGCCCCCTAGCTAGGAGGTCACAGTCCACTTTCACTTCTCTCTCTCTCTCTCTCTCTCTCTCTCTCTCTCTCTCTCTCTCTCTCTTCCTTCCCTCCTTCTTTCCTTCCTTCCTTCTTTCTTTCCTTCCTTCGTTTTGTAGTTGTTTGTATTTGAGACAAGATCTCAACATTAGCCCAGGCTGTCCTAGGCTTTCCTAGGGGTTGGGAGTACAGGCCTGCCTGCATGACCATGTCCATTTTCCAATTATTTTCTTCATAGTGTATAGTTTATTTATTTTTTGAGACAGACTCTCAGGTATTCCAAGGTGATCTTGAACTCTTTATGTAGCCAGATGTTCTTGAACTTTTATTCCTTCTGTCTTTACCTTTTGAGGACTGAGATTACAGGCTTGCATCTATTCATAGAGTTCTATGGATAGAAACCAGAGATTCACAAATGCAAAACAAACACTCACCTGAGCTACATCACCAGCCTTAGTTGTTTTTAAAAAGAGAAAACAATTACTTTGATATTTTTTTTGCCTTTTAAAATGTTCTAACACAACATATCTGATTTATGTTTTAGTTATTCTACCTCTCTGACCATAACACCTTTGAATGCTTCTGTTTCATTAATGTTCAAGAACAGAGTTTATACTTTCCACACAAAGTAGTAGTCTCATATTTGAAGTTGCAATGGCCTTTGACTCATGTGATGTGCTAATCACTATAAGATTTCAGCAAGAATAGGGCTTGACTGTGATTGGTGAAGCTGTCATGGCACTTCTTTGTCAATTGTAACCACAGAATTTTGTTCCTGTTTATACATACATTAGAGCTGGTTGTAAGGAAGCATAGCTAATGTATTTCTAGTGGTCAGTTGTGATTAATTCAGGAGTGTCACTTTTCATTTATACATACATCCCAGTTGATTTATCTCTGGATTCTTTTTATTCCCTGAAACAGTAGCTCAAATAATTTCATCTACTTTCTTCAAAAGAGCTTCCCGCCATCCTTATCTCCCTGGCTACTCCAAAGGGGCGGCTTCCCCCAGCTAAACCCCCTCTCCTCCTACGCCATTCCAGCTTTCTGCCTGGAAACCCTACCCTTCCTCTCTCCCTTTTTCGGGGCTTAAATTCCTCCAACTCAGCCTGGATGGGCACCATGGCCGGGACGGGCAGTGAGTGCAAACTGGAGGGAGTCCCTTTGTTCTAGAAGCCTGCCTGCAGCAAGGTAAGACTGCAGGCAGGGAGACTTCTGACCAGCGAGTGCTCTGATCCTGTAGCAGAAGATACAATGGAGGGGTAAGTATGTTCCTGACCACCACACAAGTCCAGAAAGGGAACACACAATCTTCCTGCCATCCTTATCTCCCTGGATACTCCAAAGGGGTGGCTTCCCCCAGCTAAACCCCCTCTCCTCCTACGTCATCCCGGCATTCTGCCTAGAATCCCTACCCTTCCTCTCTCCCTTTTTCGGGGCTTAAATTCCTCCAACTCAGCCTGGGTGGGCACCACGGCCAGAACGGGCAGTGAGTGCAAACGGGAGGGAGTTCCTTTGTTTTAATAGCCTGCCTGCAGCAAGGTAGGACTGCAGGCAAAGTGATTCTTGGATAGCAAGGAGCAATAATCTGGTAGCAGAAGACCCAGCAGAGGGAAGAGCCATTGGAGAGCATCTGAAGGAAGAGATGGGCAGGCGCGAAGACAACAATTCCTCCAACAATCTGAAAAAAAAACCATGAAAACACCAGATCCCAGCGATCTTACTACAGAAGGACTTGAACACCCTATTCCGGAAGAGGTGGAAAACAGTGTCATTATGAAAGCAATAGAGTCTCTTAAACAGGGTAT